ATGTGGTTGTCACACCACGACCTCCTTTACAGCAAAGTATTTCAGTGAAGCGTTGTAGGCACTCAAATGCACTTGTTCAGCGTACGGGAAGCGTTTCACAAAAGAGCAGTGCAGAGTGTACCGAGTATCGCGTTGCAACATAGGTTTACTTTCCATGCTCTTTAATACTGTATCGCGTCCTGCGGGGTATCTAGCCAGGTCACGGATCCTCTGGTATTTTGACTACCTACCTACAGTGCAAGGCGGTTCGAGGCAATTCGAACCGTTTGTGCAATAAATTTGACTTAATTTAATCATCAAAATAGTTCGAAACAGACTTTTTTGACGTAGTTCTACTTCTGACAAATTACTCCGCTCTAGAAATCAAAGGGGAGACTCGTCGGGCAGTTTTCCTTCACACAGTAGCATGACAAGCAGCTGTAGAACAGATCGAGGCCAGATGCTCAGCTGTACTGAATGGTCATTTAACTGTGTCGCGCCTTTAAATCCAGCGCTTTGACCTCATGTATGTAGTGCAGGGCCATAAATCTTTTTGAAGTTGCAATAGCCATTACCAGAAACAGATTGCTGACTGTCCACGAAGAGTTGAGAATGATCAGGGACTCAGAAATCCAGTGTAAAATAACTTTCGCTGACCTGATACCCACATCGTCCTTCTGAAAATGAATGAAATATTTAAAATCAGACTCTGGTGATAATCGTCTATTACTAATAAGCAGTAATGAATAATTATAGTTCAGTCTGTTTACACTATAGTGATGCATTTTATGGTTTAACACATACAGGAGTTAGATTAAAAGTTATAGTACTACAAAGAATGATATAAAGGTCATTACACCGGGTTATACGGCAACGTCGCCGTGCCTTTGCTCCTGGAGTCTTGGAGAAGGGGCATTTTAAGCACTGCATTGTTCCATGAGATTTTATCACTTGGGGTGCATAAGTGCACGGCAGCATAATATTATGACCTAGAATAGCCCACATGTTTATGACGCAGCGATGATTCGTTTAACTGTTCGCATTATGGTATAGGGTTTATAATATCAACCCGCTTACATGTCAGTCAGTCAAGTTTGCCTAGTGATTCATAAGGAACACGATAAGTTGCCATACCTGAATACAAGAGATGAACAAATGCAAAACAGCAGAACCAACAGTGATAAAATGATCCATATCAGGATGAACAGAGTCTGGTTCCAAAATAATTGTTCTTTTCCTTCGATATCGAACGGAACTGCCGACCTTCAATGAGCTTCAGTCCGGCTCCTGCAAAGGACGTACACGAATCTTGTGCTTACCTTCTTGAAAAGACGGCGTGGAAGCACTAGTACTACGGGTGAGTTGGGTTGGTTAAAATGGAACTGCCGATGACAACTGTTGTCATTATCAAGCGTCTGGTTGGGATGCGCCGAAACTTGCAAACACCAGAATTACAGAGTCGACCAAGTAGTTTCAAAAGGCTCCGGTTGCCAACCAGTTGTTTTTTGGAGACAGTGTGGCTTGTATTCCACGACGAAACATTATAGATCCTCTTCGCAGGACTTCATCTTA